CAAATGGTGGGAGCACTACTAGAGGGCCGGGCCCACCAACACCTTGTGGACTTTGACTGCCACCTTGATGACATCCGGCAAGATTGGACCAACCAACAGCTGAACATCCAAATTACCCAGTGGGTTGGTTCCACAAATGAAAATGTCTGAGCTAGGACCAGAGGGTTCAGGATCCAATAAAGAGACTTGGGCTGGTGGGCAACAGTATGACTATATTTATTGTGCCTGGGAGGCAAAGTGAGGAAGATACCTCAATGGTAGGAAGGTAAGGGAAAGTCTGGAATCCCTAGTAAAAAGCAGGAAGGTCTCTGCTGTACTCATCACAGAGTGAGAGAGAAGTCTCTCAATAGATCATTCCCTTTGTTTCTCCTCGGGGCTTCTTGAGCTTCTCAAAGTTCTTCAGGATGATGTCATATAACACAGCCTATAGAGCCAGAGAGGAGTGAGGGTCAGTCACATGGTTCTGTACCCCACTTCTAGCCTGTGGAGAGGCCAAACTTTTGTCATTGTTGACACTTAGCCTGCAAGGTCAGGGAGTAGATGACCTAGGAAAGGGGTCTGCCCACCCCTGCCCAGCCCTCGCCCCCTCACATAAGCGTTGCGGATCTCCATGACCATCAGCCGAATGTCCCGGTACTCTGCTTCATCCAACTCATGGACCAGCTGCCGATAATCACCCTGTGGAAACTCAGGGTCAGACCTGATTTGAAATGTGTACTTCCTCCATGCACCCTGACCTGGATATCACCTACCACATGGGGCTGTTTAGCTGCTTTGGTAACTGCATCACCACGCTCAGAGAAATACCTGTGGATAGGAGTATTATGTATGGAGTGGAAGAAGGAGAAAGCCCAGGCCTCTTTCCCCAAACAGAGTGTGTACAGGGGTGCAGGTGGCTGGTCACTTACTTAGAGATTTGAGTGTGGAAGCCTTCCAGCTTAGTGTGAAGGCTAGTCATCAGCTCAAATACCTTCTCCTAGGGAAAGAAAGCATGGTTGTGGGTGTGTGGGGTGGTAGGGAAAAAGATATACAAGTTATACAGGAAGATTGGGGGTAGGGTGATGCTCTTACCTGGACAGCCACTCCAAAATTATTCCCATCCTCAATCCGAGGTATCTGTAGCTGCAACCATGTAGTGACCTGGAGGGAGGGAATAGCATCAAAACCACATCAGCTCACATCCAATTCCAGGTTCCCATCTTTCCTTGCCTCCTTCATTTGCTGTGTCCTTTCCTGCTGAGACCTAGCAAGTGCCATGCCCTAACTGTTGGACCAAGAGCACAAAGGGTTTCACATGAAGGCAGGAGGGTAGAAGTGGGAGGGCTCACCAGGTTGAGTTGCTCGATGACATCCTTGATTTCAGGTTTCAGACGTTGCAGGAGGACCACAATCTTCTCATTGCAGTTCACTGGGCCACAGGGAGGACCTAGAAAGTGAGCAAGGGGTCAGTTACATGGCAGCCTGTGTGGAAAGGAATCCTTTGGAAGGAGCTCCTGCAGTTTGGGACCCAACTCTTTTTCACTACATAAATTTCAAGTACCTTTGTCTTCATCTTCCCCTTTCTTCTTCTCATCCTTATCTTCCTTCTGTAGGGAAAGAAGGGCTCTTTGGAGACAGGACTAAAGCTGATGATTTTCCCCATGGTTAGGCCCCTCCTCCCAGGTCTCCTAGCTTGCCTCCTGCTGTTTCTTCCGCTCCTCCTTCTCTTTGTCCTTGACTGGATCAGGCACTGGGATGTCTAAAGGGGCCTTCAGATTGCTCAGGTTGGCTTCATTGAGAGCTGGTTCCTGGGTGCAGGGTTGGAGGAAGACTGGAGATGAGGATATCCCTCTCAAGGACCACCAGACTCTCCTCTTGGCCCCCACTCTCTAGTTCCCTGCCCTGATACCTTTAAAAATGCATCCAACTCAGAAATCTTCTTGGGGAAATAGCTCCCGAGCAGGTTCTCTGTCTGTGTGTGAGGTGGGGGTGGAGGAGGATGGGGTTCAGATTCAAATGCCTTTACAAGGCAGTGAGGCTGGGGTGACACTGCCCAGCAAGGGATGGCTGAGCAGCAAGAGCTGGGTAGAGAAGGGTTGCTGATGGGGCAGGTCTTACCTTGGTACACAGATCTTCACGAAACACATCCACCTGTGGGGCACAGGCAACACTTCAGAAAGGTGGCTTAAGGCCAATGTATTTGGGCACAGTTAGAATTGTGTGAAAGATGGAGTGGATCCCTCCAAAGTGACACCTGAAGATGGGGGATGGGTCCCTGTGAGGGTGGACTGGAGTGGTGGAGGAGGGGATCTCTGCAGACCTGAATATGGGGAGGGTGAAGTGGATCCTTGTGAAGCGGATCCTTGTGAAGCTGGATTTGGGGGATGAGAACATTCCTGGCAGTGAATGGTGACAGGTTTAAGTCTCTCTAGGTGAAATGCAAAGGTCCTGGGGTCGCCTGGGTTGTGTGAGGAGGAGTGTGAAGAGAGCCCTCTGTCAGTGGGCTGGGACGGAGTGTCCCACAGAATGAGATCTGAAGCCCTTTCTAAGGGAAAGACCGCGGTGGCAAGGGCAGGTCTGGCGCCCCAATTGTGTGTGGCCCCCGAGTTCTGGGCCAGTGGACTTCCCCTCCTGTCCTGTTCTCTGCTTCACCTCACTCCGCTGAAGCATGGCCACCTCGCCTCTCCCAGGGCTCAGGTGCTTGGGGCAAGTAGCCCCCACACAGGTGGCGGCTGGGCAGCGGGCCAGGGGCCGGGGGAGGGTCAGGGGAACCCTCAGCGTCTCCGAGCCACGCCTCCCCAGTGGCCTGTGCTCCAACCCGCGGCGCTCACCTTGGCTTGGGCTTCAGGCTGGACCCTGAGTGTGGCCATGGCCGGGGCGAGGGGCCTCGCGCCGCACGAGGAGCCGGGAGTGGGCACCGGGAAGGGAAAGCGAAAGCAGTGCTCGCTCGCAACCCGCACGGCCTTCCTGGGTACTGGGGAGTGGAGGGACTGGAGGAGGCGGGGACTGCCCGGGAGTGGGGCGGGGCGGACCGCGCTGGAAGGCAGCTGAGGCTGGGCTCCCCCTAGAGCCCCAAAGGAGTGCTTCCTCCCGGTTCCTCGCCTCTCCGCCCCACTCTGGTTCCCGCCTCCAAGGCTGGCTTTCCAGTCTCTCATCTCCCCCCGCCTCTCAGTGCCAGCCTTCTGCCTCCGCCCCTCCAGCCTCTCTCTGCCCGGGCCTCCCATCTCCCTTCCTCCGCTACCGGCTCTGTTCTTCCCCTGCTCGGCCTGGAACAATAAACCTTATTTGGTATTCTATTTTTTTTTTCTAAAATGGAACAAAACCTGGCATCTCTTCCCTAGCCTCTCCAGTATGGTCCCCTGGCTACATGGGCATCCTCTGTCCCACCAATCCATATTCAGACATTGGCACCATGCCTACTCAAGCCCTTATCTGCTCCCCTCGGGACCGGAGCTGCAGACTCCATTCCTCTATGACCTGCTCTCGCAGAGCAACAGGTTTACTTCTCTCTAGATGAAATGCAAAGGCCCTACCTGACACTTGTCTCCCCTTCAAGTTCACTTTCTATTTCTTTCCGCCTCATTCATTACACTTGCAAATACTTGGGTTTTTCATTTATCTTTCAAAGGCCTCTTGTTCATTTCTGCCTCAGATAATTTGCCCTTGAGAAACCCTTTGCCTCAAACACCCTTTCCTTGGATGTTGACATTCAATTATCAGATCAGCTGTTTCCTCTTCAAGGAGATCTTTCTCCATTATCCCTTATAAAGTACTTCTCTCCAAACTTCTGTTATAAATCAGTGTTCTAGTGCCTTCACAGCACTTATCTCTGATATTAGCCAGTTTGTGGTGTGTGTGTGTGCGTTTGTGTGTGGTTAAGAGAGGGTAATGTAGTGGTTTAAACTAGGGCTAAGCAATCTTTTTTTTTTTTTTTTCCTGTAAGAAATGAGATGGTAAATATTTCAGGCTTTCTGGGCGTTACTGTGTCTGTAGCAACTACTCAATTCTGCCATTGTAACAGAAAAGCAGACTATATAAATGAATTAGTGTGGCTACGTTCCAATAAATATTTATGGACACTACAATTATAGTTTTATATAATTTAAATGTGCCATGAAATGTTATTGATTTTTTTAGCCACTTAAAAATGGAAAAATCCGATGCAGCCATACATGACTGCAATCTCAGCCGCTAGGGAGGATGAGGCAGGAGGATCAAAAATTTGAGGACAGACTCAGCAACTTAGCAAAGCTCTGCCTTAAAATAAAAAATGAAAGAGTGTGTGTAGGTCAGTGGTAGAGCGCCCCTGGGTTCAATCCCCAGGGAGCTGGGGGAGAGAGAAGTAAACCACTTTTCGTTCGCAGGCCATACAACAACTGGCCACAGGAGGGCAGTAACTGGCTAATCCCTGGTTTAGGGCACAGCCATTGCACCGTTATTGCCTGCGTTTCTATTCCTGTCTCCTCAGTATCTGTGAACAAATTACCTAGCCTCTGTGCCTGGGTTTTTGCAATTGTGAAAGAGGAACACTATTAAATCAACCTGATAGTGTTGTTTCGAGGACTAAATGCATTAATTCATATAAAAACTTATAGACATTTAGACATTGTTAAATAAATGAGCACAGAGATGCCCTATGAGGAAGATAGAGATAGGAAGTGTTCCTTTATGGGGTCTCCAGAGAGGCAGCCCCTTGAGGATAGTGGAGAGGAGATTTAGTGGAGAAATTAGAAAAAATAAATAAATTAGGCTGGAGAGAAGCACCTACTTAGGGAGGGTGATATACACACTTAAAGACACTATCACCTGCCTTAGCACCACCATCCCTTGAAACCACAGCCCCAGAGAGCCAGAAGTCTGCAGATCAGGAAACTGAAAGGACAGCAGGAGGAATGGAGGTCATGTACAAAGAAGGATATTCAAGGCTGATGACAGAAGGAATAGTTGAGGAGCCCCAGTGACTATCAGACCCCTTTCTTATCCTTACCAGGACCCAAAGGAACAATGAGAGGAGACAGAGCTAGGCCTGATGTGCCTTTATTTCTTTCAGTTATGCTTGCGGCTAGAGCGGGGGTGAGGGAAAAGCCCATGGCCTGGGCTCCCTGGAGACCAGGGCTGATGATACCAGCTACCATAGGTAAGGTACCAGGCAAAGGTGCCTACCGCGGCACCCACCACCTTGTGAGTGTACTGGTGGAAATAGATGACGGTACAGAGCAGCAAGAAGTTCCAGAGGCCCAGCAGCAGCACGTTGAGCAGGAAGACCAGGCGCAGGGGGGTGCCAGCAGGCAGCCCATGGGCCAGGTACTTGGCAAACACTGCTGCTTCCTCAGCCATAAGCAGGCAGCAGAAGGTGAGCAGGAAAGTGTGGGAAGAGACGGTGTAGCCCCGCCACTGGTGGCCTGCAGCCAGGCAGCTGCGGCGGTCAGGTAGCTCGTGAAGCAGCAGGCCCTGGGGCAGAGGCTCGAAGCAGGAACCAGTCAGGTCCTCGATGAGCAGGAAGGCCCGGCCGGCCCCCCTCCACACTGCTGCCCCCACCACCAGTCTGCTCAGGTGCCTGGCAGTCACTGCCACTCGCCGTGTAGCCAGGAACACCACCAGCAGCACAAAGCCCCCCAGGAAGGTGCATGTCCAGCCCCAGGCTGAATTCACAAACTTGCTGTGGGGAGAAGAGAGAAGGCTACTGAGACCCCCCAGCCTCACCTCCCCATCCTGGTCAGTGTTCCCATCATTGGTCTGTCCCCAGTTCTACACATCATCACTGGTTCTCCTGCCCATGTCCTTTATAGCCCCCAGTCATTTAAACGTCACTATCCCTTTAGAGGACCACTGAGCATTCTAGGGCCCACATTTCCTCTTCAGTTCTACTCCTGCCCCTGCCCTGTACCCCGACACTGTCCCCCTCCCCCTCCCTCTGACCTTCTCCTCAACCTGCTATACTATTTTTAGAGTTCAGACTGGCAGCAGAACAGAAACCTAGAGAAAGGAGCTGGGATCCCAGAGCGTAGGGAGCCGGGTCCCATGCCCTTATGTGGACTCACATGTTGAAGAAGTTGCCGTGGCTGGCGAAGATAGTCCGAGAGTTGACATGGAACTGTAAAAGGGGCCCAAAGATGACCACCGCTGCCAACCAGGCATGGTAGAGGCGCCGTAAGCAGGGGCTTCCCAGAAGGCGGGCAGCCTGTTCACTTCCAAAGTACAGCAAGGCAGAAGCTACCCAGAGGAGCACCTTCACCAGGCAGCCCAGCAGTGCCCGGATTCGGGTCCCAGCCCCCGGCCCTGCCCCCACCACCAGCCCCCGCTCCATGTTCCCTCCCCTCCCCACTAACTGCCTGCTCTGCTGGGCAGCTGAGGAGGGGCTGATGGGCCCCCCTCCTCGCTGGGGCAAGGACAGGCAGTGACAGGTGTGGCAGACACAGGGCAGAGCCCTGTTGGCAGCTGGCAGGCGGGGGAGAGGGGCGGGGGGGTAGTAAGGGGCCAGGGTGAAGGGCTGTCACGTCAGCAGGGTCCTGGCCTCGGGTGTGTGATAGTGTGTGTCCTGACAGCAGCCTGAGTCCTTTCCTATTAGCCCTGTGTCCTTAGCTCCCTCCAACTACATTCTAATTCATGTCTCAGGACCAGGCCTACTGTTCAGGGCTGTCATGTCTACAGCCTGCTTGAGTGTGCCTGCCTTAGTTTGGTCATCCCAAATCCCTCTACTCTGTACCCAACTCCACAGGGAAAAAAGAGGTCATGAAGTTAAAACTAACCAAATTTTAAAAGTCATTCAAACAAATCTGTGTCTGCCTTATTATCAGTGTGGTCTAGTCCTTCTCCTGGGGTTCTGGGAAGCAAGGTGGGTGTGCACAATAGTGTCCTCTTCAGGTTGCATAAAGCCTATCAACTGTGGTGTCCACTTCAGTGAACTGTGACCCCTGGACTGAGGGGGCTCTAAAGGGTTAATTTAGCCCAGGGCTGCTGTGCAAACCAATGGTTGTGCAATGAATGCACAAGGGAGCACATCTGATGGGGCACCATTTGTGTTTATGATGACGACCAACAGAAGAAATTCAAATGTTCTGAGAAAGGCATATTGTGTGAAATGATTAGTAGCCCAGGTTAGACTCTCAGAACCCCAAAGATGAGGGTTTCTCAGGTCACAGGGGCACAGGTGACCCTAGAAAAAAAGAAATCCCCAGTCTGGAAAATTCTTCAAAACATTAGGTTTACTCAGGTGTGACAGTGAATACCTATAATCTTACTGACTAGGGAGGCTGAGGCAAGAAGATGGCAAATTTGAGGCCAGCTTCAGCAATTTAGCAAGGCTCTAAGCAATTAAGTGAGACCCTGACTCAAAAAAGGGTTGGGGATGTAGCTCAGTGGGGGTAAAGCACCCCTGGGTTAAATCCCTGATACCCCAAACAAAACAAATAAACAAAATCTTTAGTTTCAGTTGGATGTGGTGGTACAAGCCTATAATCCCAGTGATTTAGGAGGCTGAGGCAGAAGGATCCTAAATTAAGAGATCAGACTCAGCAACTTAAATAAAAAATAAAAAGGGCTGGAGATCTAGCATGGTGGTAGAGTAGCCTTAGATTCAATCCCCAATACCAAAATCAAACAAACAAAAACTTTAGGTTTTGTCCTCAACCAATTACCCTGAGCCTCAGGGTTGCCTCAGGGTTGCCAGTCTGGGCCTCCTAAACCCACCACTGGGCTGGAGCAGCAAGAGAGCAACTGACCCAAGAAGTCCCTGTTATTCAGTAACTATTTCAAGATCACTTTTTTTGTCTTCCTTCTTCATTCCTCAAAACTGATGGTGGGCTTTCAGAGCACAGTAGAGGCCCATGAGGCAGTGAAATAAATGAGCAAGTTTCCCCAGGTTGTGTCGTAACAGTGACTTTGACTTTGGGAAAATCTGCCAATCCTTCTCTGTACTCAGGGCCCTCATCTATAAATTGATCAAGATAGATTAGATAATCAGTGAAGTACCTTCCAAATCCTAAAATCCCAAACTTCAACAGAGTGGCCTTCATGTCTCTTTGCTCAGACACTATAAGAATTTTGAAGACCCACAGACCTCCTCACACATTTTTTAAGTTGGACATGAAATGTTCCATTTGTGATTCTGAATAGTTGAAAAAGACATAGCTTCCAGTGTATTTTATCTGCTGACATTTGAAAATAAAGCTATCACTTTTCTTTTTCTTGCAGTACTGGGGATGGAACCCAGGGCTTCATGTATGCTAGGCAAGTGCTCTACAACTGAATTACATCGCCAGCCCTATATCACTCTTTTAAAGTTTTCCAGTGGAATCTAAACACTACAGTAATGAAATATCTCATCATTATCCACTTTAAAAACATGTGAGAAGATATTAAATCAGAGATCATATTTCTTTTCTATATTCCCCACAGAATTTATCTTAATGTTTTTATGCTGGAAAGTCTTTTATTGGCCATTTGTCACATTCTTTGCAAAAAAGCATATGATTTAAAATTTAATTAAAAATTTTTCCTGTGATCATGAAGTCCTAAAACTTTTTTCCTTCTGGACTGAATTTGCATTATAATTGTTAGTAGTACAAAATATACAATTAGTATTAAAAACAGTTTACACAGTTCAATAACATAAAATTATACTGAAAATGCCTGAGAGGATGGATGGTCCCTGAGACCTTGATCAGATGAGGCTTTGGGGATACTGATTTTAATTTGCCTCTTAATTTGGCATCCTGGAATTAATAGATTCTGGGTGAGCTGGGAGGGATCCTGGGGGTGAAGTAATGCAGGAGGACTGAAAGTGCAGGTGGGAAAGGAGATCTGGCAAGATAGTTTCACACTAGGTAGATTAATCTAAGGAATAAGAACATGTAGAGGCTGAGGAACTGGACAGTTATCTTTTAATAGTATCTATTTGGGGCCAGGCATGATGGCTACTCCTGTATTCTCAGCTACTTGGAAAGCTGAGACAGAAGAATCACTTGGGTCCAGGAGTTTGAGAGCAGCTTGGGTGAAGTGGTGAGACCTCACCTCACAACAAAAACACACCATACCTATCTGGCTTTTAAATAGGTACCCCTTTTACCCTTTGCTGTGAGAACCCCTGGAAGTGTACACCTGGGTTTCCAAATTGCCTTAGAGAGCAAGACATGCTGTGGGGAAAGATCTCGTCAGAGCCAGATGTGAAACAATCTCACTCAGCCTTCAGTTTCCTCTGAGGCCTGAAGTTCTGAGTGGTAGGCGTCCAGATGGGGTTTTCTCTGGCTCTGTGTTCACTCACCACCTCTTATGAAGACTGGAGCAGCTCCAGAACAGAGCTATTCACAGTATTCCTGGGCTGTAACAAAAACTGTGCTTATCTTCTGCTGTCTCCTGGGAAGTTTCTGAGTTTGACAGGGAGACCCTGGTGCAAGGCTCAGTTAATAAACAATTTTAGCATTTTCTTTTCTCATAGGGTGTCAAAAGGATGTTTTCTTCTACTGAGGAGCATACCTGAAGGCTTTGTTGAAACTGTTAAAGTGAGAGGATAAAAGAACTAGATATGAAAAAGAGACAGTGAGCAGAGACACTGAGCCAGGTTCCCACAGAGGATTTATTGAGGGAGCCAAAGCCAGTGAGAGGACAAAGGAGCCCTATTTCAACCTCCTTCCTTGAAGCTGCTGACCTCCAACATGACAGGACTTTCAGAAAGGTAGGGCCTGTGCCATGTGGGGCTGCGTGAAACTTTTGGAGACCCCTGCCTCTCACATCACAGCCTGTCCAAATCCAAAAACCCAGGCAAGAGAGAAGACATAATCTTCACCCCAGGAGAGTGCTACAGAAACACCTTTATCTATCCTGCCCTCCCCATCCCCTTAGACCTCAAGAAGAAAGGCCAGGACACCTGGCTCTCTGACGGGCCAATCTAATCCTCAATGTGAAGACCTGGGCAATGGGCCTGGCTGACAGGTTAATTTACACCTGTCCTCAGGTATCTATCTAGGAGCAAACACCTAACATCATAACATGATTAAAAACACTCAGGACAGTTCTCTTGCTGGCAGAAGTCCCACCAGACCTTGGCCAGAGATAGGAACCCAAGCCTACTGGGTGTGCACACATGGCCTTGTGGGGTGGATCTTCCAGGGCTAGCCAAAAGCCTGGGCTTCTGTTTCTTGCCACCCAATTCCAGAGATTCCTCCAGACATTCCCCAGAAGAGAAAGAGGAAGAGAATTTGTTGAGAGGTTCACCCTGTAAGGAGCTGGACGTCTGATCTACTGGGGTGAGGAAAAGGCCGTACAAGAGCGGAGCACTGGGGTAGGGGCACTGGTGCGTTCCTCTGTCTCTGGCATGTCATCCGGGAAGTACTCAGCCTGGCGATACTGCCACAGACGCAGGTTCCCGTCCCACTGCAGGGCAGAAGGTACCAAGTAGTCAGGGGGTGCTGCCCCTTCCCAGGTCTAAGTCCCAGACATGTGCTGGTCCCTCAAACTTGCGACCTCACCGAACTGCTGACAATCTTCTCTTCAAAGGGGTGCCAACTGACATCACGCACACAGGCCTTATGGTTCGTCAGCTTCTTCACGATGTGGCCACTGAGGAGATCGTACACTGTCCAGGAAAGCCAGAGTGGAGAGGAGCTGCCACAGACCTTTAAGGCACCCACTGGCTCCCCAAAAGGCACCAATGACCTAACTCTTGGGCAACTTCCCATTTTCCCATGGGAATGAGGTTATTTTGGATTCCTTCCCCAGCTTAGGTTGAGGCTATGGTATGTTGGTATCCCTGATCCTCAGCTAAAATTCAAAGGCCTAACTTAAGAAAACAGTTGCCTTAAAGCTCTTAGCAAGATACAGACAATGGCAAAAGTGAACTCTGCACCTGCTTGTCCTTGGCTGGACAGGGTACATCTCTCATTTCTGCATGGGTCTCTGTGTACCTACCTAGGTGCAGCATGCTGTCAAGCTTTTTCTATCTATAGTTCTGCTTGTGTTTCTTTTTGTGCATTCCTCCTGCTTCAGTGATTGCAAGTCCTTTGCTACTTGATGCTCTCTTTTTGTGTCATTCTTTTTGCCTGTTTCCTCCTACCTTTCATCTGTAAACACCCCCCCCCTTTCCTTGACTAAGAAAACATAACAAACTATATTTTTAGTAATCGATTATGTTTACTGACTAGAATTCCATGTCCCTTTTCTTAATTTAAAATGCTCACAAACAGAATGTTTTTTATTCTCTGTTTAAGCCTCCCCTGCTCCAGGCCAAATTAAATTTCATTAGGAGTTGTCATTTGGCTTTTTTTGTTGTTGTTGCTCTGGTTATAGAAAAACATTCCTGCTCTTCCCAAGCCCCCTGTTCTGACACAATCCTTACCAACCACTTTGCCAGTAGAGCAGCCACTATAGATGAACTGCTGGCCTGTGCTATGAGTCGGGGAGAAGCGGCAGCGGATGAGGGTATGCAGCACCCCGTGGCCTCGGTAGGTCATCAAGGAGCTGTCCCCTGGGAGCTTCAACTTCCGCCAGGCTGGGTAAGGATTCATGGAAAGCACTAGATTAGGGAGTCTGCTTCTGGATTGTCCAGTTGTTCTTAGCAAAGACTCAGAGACAATGGTCTCTCTAGTCTCGACTTTTTTTTTTTTTTTTTTTTTGGGCAACACTAGGGATTGAACCCAGTGCCTCACACATGCTAGGCAAGTGCTCTACCATTGAGTTATGTCCCCAGCTCTCAAATATTAACTCTTTCCCCACCCAACAGTCAACAGTGATCAATATACTTCTGTACTGGTTGGCTCTGGGTGATCCCCAGCCTTCAACCCTGGGAATCCCTGGATATCCTCGTGGGCCAGTAAATCAAGGGTTAATACCTAGAAAAGGGGGTTGTGATAGGGCTCTGGGACTCCCGGGCTACAGATGAATCCACTGAGCCCATGCCAGACCCTACCAGTGATCAAGTACTTTCATTTCCAACCCAATTCTTAAGTCTAAATCTCAGTTCTTTCCATTTTCACCTTTTTTGGGCACCTGCTGCCAACGGTAGTCCCAGTTTTGCTGGGTGGCAGCCTGGCGTGAGGCTTCCATGCCTTCCCGGCTGGAAAAGCGTCGGATATCCCAGAGCTTGATGGTCTGGTCTTTGGAGTTGGAGATGAGATACCGGGCATCACCCTATGAATCCAAAGATAGATCAGAGTTTGCCATGTCACTACCTGTTAATCTAGTTCCCTGCTCTAGCTGAGGGGTAAGAACCTTTCCTTTTCTAATTTTGCTTGCTTCTTTCTTCATCCAGGTGAGTTCATCTTTGATGCTCTGCTTCAGATCTCACCCCCTGGTTAGGTTTTTCCTTTCTTTTCCCAGGGTACTGATTGAATATCCTATTTTATTCTAGATTAGATGTCCTCTACTATTCTTGTAAAGAAAACCCTGCCTGCTTCTTAAGGATTGGCAGATATGAGGGAGCTCATGTTTCCTAGTTTAAGCCCCTTCTCTAAACTCCTGCTCTTGCACACCCCAGCTAATGAAGAGCTTGTCAAATACCCACACCAGTATCCTTCACACCCTCCTGGGCAACCAGAACTTCAGTAGCCTGGCTGTGCTGCCCTGCCTCTCTGCCCACCTTGCTGTCAATGAATGTGATGCCATCCTGGTGTCCAGCCAGTGCACCCACGGGCTTGGGGTCATCCTCCCGCATGGTGCGTCGATCCCACACTTTGCAGATGGCATCATCTCCCCCAGAAAACAGGATCTGGGAGCTTATATCAGCAAAGGCCACTGCATTCACATCATCTTCATGAGACTCAATCTAGAGGAGAAGAAGGCTAAAACACTTAAGATTCCTTAAAATAGGTCAAAGACCAGAAGACAGAGGCTATAAGTCTCAGGAATAATACCTGAAGGGTGCGCCGGTTTTGTTCTCGGTCAAAGACATACAGACAGCCATCATTGGCCCTGAAAGGGAAGGGATAAGGAGGGTGCTAGAGACATGATTGAGTGGACCAATTTTATGTATACTCTGGAGAGTCCCGCTGAGAAGCTTTATTGAGGGTCAAGCCCTTGTCTGTTCCTATACAGGAAGTAGGACAAGAGTGAGCTTTGTTTTCAAGGAGACTTGAGAACTGTCTCCTCATGTTTGGAAAATGGTGAGCAAGAGGGGAAGCAGCTCATAAACCCCAACTTTAGAGAAGACTGGTTGTTTTCTATAGCTAACAGTTCAGCCTCTGTGACAGCAGAAGTGATCTCTAACAGAACTCCTCTATCTCATTAATTGAGGGGGACATCCCCCACAAACACTTACCCCCCAAGTATTTCTCGTCCATCTGAGGAGACAGCAATGGAAAAGACAGCAAAGCGACGCTCATCTGGTCTGAAGAAAGCAAAGGAGTTGTGTTGGGTGGACTACCCTATAGCTTTTGTTAATCTACAGAGAATCTGACAAGGATTATAAAAAAAAAAGAACAAGAAAGCCTTCTGATACATGCTAGAATGCAGACCACCTTAGTGAGAACCTATAAATAATCCTGTAACTGTCTATTTCACCCTGGTCTTCTGGCTGACAATTCCCTCCCAGGAATCCATGCAGAGAAACTTGCAACCAGTATACTTTTCCCTCTAAGCGGGAGTTTCAGTTCAAGAGGTTTGCTCCTGGGGAGACTTCCTTGAGAAGTTTCTAGAGAGTATGATGAGAAAGAGAAGCCAATACCTTAGATCCAGGGCAGTGTGTGTGTCTCCTTCCCCATAGATATTGCAAATATGAACTAAGGGAAGCAAGAGAAACAAAAATTTTTCAGGGCTGTGGACATAATGTGGAAATGAAGCTATGGAAGACACAGGAAAAAGGTAAGGTCATCAGAGCACCTTGAGAATGATTTTCTCAGGACAGGACATGGAGTCTTGTCTCAGAGAAAGATGTATGGAGATCTCATATTCTAGACTGGAGACATAGAAGTCTGGTGTATACTCACTGTAATCAGACCAGCTGGAGTAGAGGAAGTGGTTCCCATCAGGGGTGAAGGCCACATCCAAGACGCTCCAGCCTACATCCCGGGCCTTGATACTCTTGAATTTATGGAAACGGCCATATCGGCAGTCATACAGTCGGATTGTCTGGTCTGTGTAAGTAGGAATCAGGCAGAATTATGGAACACCTTTTTTGTACACTTCCTAGATCATACCTCTCTCTCAGTGTCTGTAGACTCTTTCCTTTATCATGGGAAGCAGATGCTAACTAAGCATCACTAAATTAGGTTCTGAGCTCCATGGTCTATGACTTTCTGTCCTCAGTAAACTCATTCCTTGTTCCAGAGAAAGGCAGTATAATTATAGGAGCTGGGTCTGGTACCTTGGCAAGCAGACATGAAGATTTGACCATCTTTGCTGTAGATACCACAGAAAGCCTTCTGTGAGTAGGTATCAGTGAAGCCCAGACTATTGGGCAAGAAGCTGGGGAAGCAAAGTGAAG